TTTCAGCCACGCATCCTTCGGATCCAGGACATCGTGCCTCGTCCGTAACCCCGTCAGGTAGCATCGGCAACAATCCAGCGTCGTCGTTATTCGTTAACACGTCGTCAACCTCACTTCTGACTCAAGCTGGACTATTGTCACATCAATTGGCAGCCGGTCAACAACTTGGAGTTGATACACTTCGGTTATTGCACAATCCTCAATTAGCAGCCAGCTTGTCAGCAGCAGCTGCTGCTGGTAATCCATTTTTGTCGACAAACACTGGAGCGACAATTCCATTGTTGCATATGTTACAACAACAACAGCAACAGCAACAACAACAACAACAACAGGTTGGTGAAAATTCCTATGAAACCTCTTTTTTTTCCATGTTCGCGTGCTCCTTTTCCATTATGTTTCCTGTTTTTTTTTCGTTGACTAGTCGTGTTATCCTGGCTTTGTTGATGAAGGGTTACAGTGCACGCAGTGCTTGGGGGCATGCGTGTTTAAGAAATCAACGACCGGTTGTTTACGATATTGACCTATACTACAACAATATTTGCGTATCTGTATGTACACGCACGCATTAAGTTTAGATTGACGTGTGTTCAGAGGATGTTAGGAAAAACGTTGGTTAGTCTTCTCTCAAGAATGATTCTCAGGGGATTAAAATAGTAAAAGTAAACTGGTTGTGGGAAATACTAAGAGGAAAGTTTGTACAACTTCTAAGAGTGTTTGCACGCTTACTTTTCTTTATTTACCATCGCTCATATTTGCTTGGTTTCAGAGTCTGTTAGTTTAAGGTTTTAGTATCAGTCATAAACTAGCTGGAGAGTTTTTCGATTGTCACAAGTAAGGTTAATATAGCATCATGTAGCGTGTCTTATCACTATTTTTTGGGAAAGGCTTTGAAGCCAAAGTAGAAAAAAATCCTGAGGAATTGAATTAATTAGCTATGCATCTCATAACTCTTTTAGACATGTAGCCATCCTACGCCTTGGGAGTAATGGATGATTTTTTTGGCTTTGCATATTCAATACACCTATCCATTGCAATTGACCAGAATCCATGCGTACGAGCTATTCAGTATGCGTTTTCCCTCCACTCATTAAATTTACATAGTACCATTACTTTTTCCTCGAAAGACCAGCCACCATTGAAGTCCGCGGTAGCCATAAAGGTCGTTGGCGCCTTATGCGCTCACATTCACGGAGTTTTTTCTCTTCGTCAATGGAGAAAGTGCGAAATCTAGCCCAGCGTTGAACGAATACGTGCACAGCTAATGTGAATGCTTTACAAGGCTTGAAACTGACTGAATAGCCAGTTTCCTAATGCTGGCTGTTTTTACCTTGGTCTGAATTGTTTCCGACGTTTACGTTCCGCGTTTCTAGCGGATCGAGTTCGTGGACGCGAGTTTTTTTCACACGGCGCAAGTGGCGAAGCCGTATGTTTGCACTTTTGCTGGAAAATGAAACTATCACGTTTTAACAACGAATGCTCGTTGAATGCCTGAAATAGGCAATATGGGGACGTGCTATATAACACAACGAGTGTTCTCTGTAACTTCTGCCTGCTCGGATTAGCCTCGTCCAACCGACAATGCTAATCGTGTCGCTTTTGATGTGATTAATCTTCGTCTCGGAGGTTTACTAAGGCGATTGCCGATCGCATCAGATGGGCAACGTTATTTCGCTCTTTGTAAACACTTCTTGAAGCATACCTTTGCAGTGCAAGACTGCACGCACTAGTCATGCAAACTGATGTTTCGTGCTGTCTTTCAATGCGTAACAGTTATCTTATCGCCCTCAGAACATAGATTATATTGAATGTTGGCGATGGGAGTGTTTAACACAGTATCTTACCTTCCTCACTCTCTCCCCCTTTTCCCTCCACTCTTCCTTAAACGACGTTATGGTACCACATGAGACGAGACCTCAAGATTGGAAAAGAATTTCCCAGAGGATTTGAGAGAAAAGAGAATTTCCGTCATGCACGTGCAAAGCTGATGAGCACAAGGGGAAAAAAGAGTCCTTTGGCAATGAAGGCAGTTAAGGGAACGTTGACATCATATGGTGAAATATGAGACTCTAGGGTTGGGAAATTAGTTGTTTTTGACATATAAGAAGGGAGAAAGGGGTTAGTGACGATTGGCTTTTTCTCATTA